CTGGGTTTTTGAACTAATCGTCGTGAGTTTGATATTTAATGCTAAAAAGATATTTATATTCGGTTTTACTTCTCAAACCATTATGTGAATCGAAACAAGTTTAGGGATGGACAAAAGATGGGTATGGCCTTAACTGGTTATAATTGGTCTCTATCAAAAAACGTCACCACATAATCTTTTTTTAATGGTAACTGTAGGTTTTTTGAGTTAGATTACGTGCACCGACTAATCCTTCAAGGGACCACAAATGATATGAAGTCATTGTAGGTGAACATTCATGATCATAAGGGTTTTGGCAGCACATGAATTCGAATCCTGGATAGATGATATTTTTCATTACATCCCCTTAGCCTAAAATGTGTATCTAATATAGACCAATATAACTGATCTTTTACCTAATCCTTAAGGCCAAGTTCATTTAAACCGTTTTTGACCAATGGGTGAGCCGCATATGACGTTTCAAAAAAAAATCAGTCTTAACCAATCCTACGATAATTGGTCCTCTAAAAACATACTTATAAAGACCAACAAGTTATTGTCGCTTTTTAACTGTTCCAAATGTCACAAGTCTCGGTCGAGATTTGAGCCTTATCCAGTTTCCGGGCCTTGATTGCCATTGCTAGATGTATGGTTGGAAAGAAAGTGATTTTCTATTTCATATTTTGATCGACTCGATTCAAAAAGTATTTCGTTATAGAATATGAATTCTCTAAAACGAACAATATCATTATACAGAAGAATTTCTCGTAAAATGAAATCTCGTATTCTGTTTAACCGAATTTCAATTTTCAAAGCATGTTCGATTATTTTATATAAATGGAATATTTGAACCCTTTAAATTTTCAAAATCACATAAAAAAATTCTCATGCCCCAATAATTTTAATAAAGATATACGAATTCGATCCAATGCTATTGTTTTGACCAAAAAGCCCTTTTCTATTTATTATTTTTAATATTATTGTTATCACTATCTACCATATTAATAACTAAAGGGTAATTTAGACCATTATCAATTATTAAAATTACAGATGAATGGAGTAGCAATTTTATTCTAATTGATATCTACAAATAACTACGCTGATATTTGTTCTGTTTAGTTATGTTATGTTTTTGTTTTGTCTTGTCTAGTCATGTCTGATTATACTTACGTATCATACGCCAGCTTAGTGCCATTTTCACAAGGAGTACGAGGGCAGATCAAAACTTCTGACCTTCAAAAATATTTTCGTCTCTGCCAAATCAGGTAATTTTGATGAAATAAAGCAAATATCGTTGATGTTTATGTAACCAATTTCGGTAGGTTAAGTGTTATAACGGCTCCATACTTGCAAAACTGGACCACCATAGTTACACAAGATCAGGCTTAAACATAACTTATTCGTACATTGTCCCCATAAGTGTTGACGAAACTTTCAAGTCATAAAAAGACGAAGTCTTCATGTTAAAACCGAAAACTATACAACATAAATTGGAAACTTGAGCAAAATCAATGATCGTCTTCTTTTACATCTTTAATTAACTAACAGTAGCCCCGAATCATAACATTTATGCTTTTTTGGATTTAAAACGGTTTACCTAATTGGACCCTGATATTCTTTTATTGTAAAGAACTTTGGCAATTCATCTATGAATATTGGTTGCGAAAATATACCCACATGACTACACCGTTACTAATCGGCCATCACCATCATTTTCGACCAGTTTAATGTTGGCAATGTAAGTCCTTCATAATTTAAAGTTACAAGTTTTAATCTCTATCAAATTCTTTTACCCTTCATAGACTATATATATATATAGAGAGAGAAAGATTGGTTATTATACAACCCATGACATTTGTGCAACCAATACAACCCAATCTCAACCATCCATTTCATTTGATTAATATGTGATTTCATAGAAGTTTTGCTTGTTTCCTAATATAAAGTATTAATCATAATTAATGAATCATATTCATCTTCCATAAATATTCAAATCATAATAAATGAACTCTCATCATTTCCATAAATACCTCAATTTATTGGGTTGCATTGGTTGTACAAATGCAACAGGTTGTATTTGAAACAAACTTTCTCTCTCTCTCTCTCTCTCTCTCTCTCTCTCTATATATATATATATATATGTAAGTACTTTATTTATGTGGTCTTAGCTCGATGAGTAAGGGTGTAAACGTTCTTGTAAAATGAGTGGGAAGTTTGGGGATAAATTGTGAACATCACTCACGTGCCCTGGAACAGGCAATTTGCCCCTTAAAAACAGTATACAATGGGGCCCTATAGAAGGTGGCACCAGCCTTTTTTTTTTTTTGGCAAAAGTACTTATTTTAAATAATCGGAATGCCACATAAGTAAAATAGTGTCAAATTGTTCATGATGCTACATAACATAAAGGAAGGACTGGAACAAGTCGAGTGAAAGTTATACACCAGAAACCGATAATGGCAAATCTGATTAAAATATATCAGACACAAAACATAGCTTTCACACAACTGATTTTCTTGTTACATTCACATCAGCAGTTAGTACACAATTCCCGAAAAACACCCATATACATATCTTAATTTGGGACATGCCTATCGTATCTCTTTAACCTCTACCTTAATTTCTTAGACCAATATAAAACTAGTAGGAAGTACGTAATTGAATTGGAGGGGCATATTAGTAAATTTAAAACGTGGTTGAGTAGTGTTGTGAAGAATGAAGATTGGATAGCCTTTTGGATTTAGAGTAAATTACAAATTTGGTCCATTACTTTTCATCGTTATGTAGTTCAAGTCCCTTGATTTTTGAATTTACATTTTGAGTAAAATGTGGATTTTGTTAACAAGTATAGTCCAGTATAGTTTATAGTTTAATTAAACTGATTGTGTATGTTGTTCAGATATAATTCATACATACAAAACTACAAAAAGTAATAATGTAATAAACATGTATACTTGTATTGTTTTTCACCTCCCTTCGTACACTAACACTGTCCGATACCTCGTTATAGTTGTTGGTGAACTGATGTGCCTTTATGGACATTTCTAACTGAGTTGCTTTAGTATCTATGAAGCAATCAAATGAAACTACAGATGTTGATTGATGTCATTCGTACCTGATTTGATCTCAGTTCACTACCATCTTGATAAATAAGCAACGATTGATTTTAAGTCCTTCAGGTCTACGAAAAAACCCGTCTCACTATTGATCTTGAAAGCAAGGTGCTTCTTATTTCGATATGCGATCAACTGAACAAAGAATGGATGACATATGGGATTCTGGTTGTTAAGAGAATAGGGTTTTTTTTCCAGTCCTTGTCATAACGCTGGTCTTTGTGTGATCCAAGTTGATGCGAAACGATTCTGGTCTTCTTATTTACATTCACGAAAGAATAAAACGATAGTGTATTACATAAGTCCTTATTTACAGATAGTGGACAAAATAAGCATGGATAATAAAAAGTGTTAAAAATGTCATTTATTAATTATATCTCAATTCACATTGATCTAAGGGGCTGTTTACCAAATGCTTACCCAGGTAGGTGCTTACCAAATCACATTACATTAACGGATGAATATGGTAAGGACCAAAAGTCTTACCCGGTAAGTGAGGGCAACGACTCTTACCACAGTAAGTGAGGGCAACGACTCTTACCACGGTAAGTGTTTACCAGGTAAATTGTTGCATACGATGTCATTTTGATGGACCAAAAGCTTACCCGATAAGTAAATGATAGTGTTAATTTTGCAGTAACCGCTTACCGAGTAAGTGTTTGGTACACAACCCCTAAATTCTACTTTTCTTGGGTTCCTTTGAGAATATCCATCAGAGAAAACATGAACTAATTCATATCACAAAGAAAATGTGGGTGCAATCATACCAACACGAATGCCTCGTATCACATTAGATGTTTGTAAATATCATAATTGAATAAGAGTAATACTAAGATAAGTGACCTCGTGAAAAGTTTTTGTAACACTCTCTTTAGAATTAGTCAAAAAAGAATGTTACACGAACATAAGGTTGATCTTCTCAAAATATACCTTCGATGTCACGGTAATGGAGCCGCATTGGTCAATATCTGGATACGATGTCATTTTAATGGATTAAATATCTTAGCTGATAAGTTAAGTGATAGTGTTGAATATTACCGGTAATCATTTACCAGGTATGTGTTTAGGTAAACAACCCCTTAGTAATCAGTTTAGACAAGTTGTTGATCTTTTTCGATTTTCCCTTGACCTAGTATGAATAGTAAATGCTCGGTGACAACTAGGACCATGCAAACTAGCTACAACTGCAACATCAACAAAAACTAGTTAGCCTCAGATCTAACCTTTCATAGAGACGATAATTACTAAATAAGCAAGCACAATGACCAGTTCATCATATTATATGGCTTTTGAAATGCCAAAACCATTTTTTTCCAAGATTCATCTGTTCTACCATTGTCATTATTTATTAAACCAAATATCTAACCTGTTATGCGGGCTGACTAATCCCATGACGACCACCTGCTTTGCAGATAACATGGAGTCACCGCATTTGAACCTCTGTGGCCACAAGAGGATTTTTATTCTTCCTTGGATTTGAACCTGGAACCTTCAGGTACTTTTGACCTTTAGAATCAAGCTCAAACCAATCAGACACCATTGTCATTATCATTATCATTATCCTATCACTTCTTGAGAGATGTTGGTTCTCGTGAGAAGTTCTGTTACTTCCGATTCTCGTATGACATTTTTTCCGACATTTTATTACTTCCGGTTTATATTTACCTTCTAACTGTCAAGGGGTGGACCAAAATTGTTAGTAGATTATTATTTGTTGAACACAAACATGGAAACCGGGAATATAAGGACTAAAACTGTAGCTTTGACAATAGTCGAAGGACCAATTTGTAATTTACTATTAGACTTCTTTGTGTGTGTGTTTTCCGCCCTTTCTTCCATTCCCCCTTTTCCCTCTGGCGAGAGCGGCACACGCTGCTTTATAAATACCGCTTTTTCCGCTGCTCGTTTTCACGCTTTTCCTTTTCCTGATTTTCGTCTTCCAGAGCACTCAAATACTGAAAGAGACTCACACTCTCTTCGCACAAATTCAGCATAATTTCGTGCATTTCACGCTTCGCTCTTCGATCGGTAACCTTCTTCTTTCGTTTCTTTGAATTTTTGTTCGTTTCAGTTTTTGTTATGTTTGATCGTAGTTAGTAATCATGAAGAAATGCGGCGAATTTTGATGTTTTGTGTAGTTTGTAGAGGGTTGTTGATGACTATTAGGAGGTTATTTATTGGTTTTCAGAAAGAAAAAAAATTCTGGAGAATCACTTCAACTTTGATATGCTTAGTAAAGTTTTAAGGGTTGATTATTATAATGTTGTTGATAAGGCTTGAGATTAGTTTCATTTGGAGGATGATTGAGTATTGATGTGCGTGTTATTTGAAGTATAGTTTGATTTGGAGGATGACGTGTCTAGCTATGTTTTAAAAATTGGTGGTTGGATATATTTCATTGTGTCTTGTTTCTGTTCTTTTTTTTTGTTTGGTTGTATTTAGGGATTTAATTATATGAAGGGCTGTCTCCTTACATTTTTCATCTGGTCTGTGATGGTATTTTCTTTCTCTAAATTGTCTAGCATAGACCGAAACCAAACTAAAAATATATCCCACTTGAAAGTGGGGTGTTTTTGAGGGGTAGGATGTATGCAGAACTTACCTAGACCACTATTCTGTAAGACCCATGCTTGTGCATGAAACAAAGGTGTGTGCAAGCAGGAAACAAGATAGACAATATAACTTTTTGAAATAACTATTCTGGAGCTACTGGGAACTTTTGAAATTGAAAGGTGTATATGTGTACTCGTTATCTTCCTTAAAGATAAATTTATGGTATTAGTTTGGGCCACAAGTTTCTTTATTTGTGTTTATTGAATGCCATCTGAGATATTTAACAGATAATCAAACTTTTTTTGTGAAGTCTAATGTTGCAAATTTTATTTGTGTTTACTGAATGCCATCTGAGATATTTAACAGATAATCAAACTTTTTTTGTGAAGTCTAATGTTGCAAATTTTATTTGTGTGTATTGAATGCCATCTATGTCGATTAACCAACAACTCAATGTGCTTTTCTTCCATCTTCTTGATTAACCAACACTCATAGAGAGATGTAGCAGGATTTGTTTGGGGGATAATAAGCCTATTTCACATCTCTTCATCTGCAAATAATTCTCAATGTGAAAACACAGAGACAAAGGGATGAGTTTTATGTTAAATAAGGAAACAACACAAGTATACGCTTTTGGTCAACATAAATCTATCTCTGCTCAAGAAGCGCAAAGAGTAATTGATCAAATTCATGGATGTTCCTACGAAGAAGCATTTATGATATTAGAACGCATGCCTTATCAAGGATGTTATCCCATTTTTAAATTAGTTTATTCTGCGGCAGCATATGCTAGTTTCAACATGGGCTCAAATGAAGCAAATGTAGTCACTAGTAAACTGAAGTCAATGAATGTACTAACCTCAAAGAGATTAAAACATCAGGCTTGAGGGGGTAGTTATCGGATAGAATAACCTAGAACCATCATTGATTGGTTAATCAGCAGATTAGTTGGCAACTCCTTTGGAAATATTAGCCAGATGGTATTTTTTCTGTACTTTAAATACTCCATACGTATGCAATAAATTATTTCGTGTTCTTTTAATGGTTTCAGCCATTCAGTACCTGCAGGAGGGATTAGGATTCATATTCAAGTATATGGGTACTTCAGGCAACTGCTTAATGATATATTAATAATACACTATTCGATTCCATAATTAGAGACTTTTTTTTGGAAAGATTAAGGATATATATGTTAATGTGTGTGGTAAATTTGATGATGGTAGGACATCTTACGGAAGTGCTGCCTCTTTCTGGTTTGCATTTTAAACTTTGTGCAAGCGAACTATATTTGTGGAATAGAAATAGTACTTTTGTTGTTTTGTTAAGTGTCTTTCGATCAAGAACTAAGAAGTTCACCTTGATTATGTTTATACTTTATATAGATAATAATCTTTAGTAATTTTTCTAATTCACTGTACCGTTTTCCATTCAATGAAATAATAGAGTATTTTGGGTGTCTGCATACAGTCGGACATAAATGAGCAAACAAGTTTAGTACTTTCTCATTGTCCCCTCTTTTCCCACCCTAGATAAGCTGGCCTTCAGATCTTTCTTGTCACTGATCGGTGCTAAGTCTATCCCAGCTCTTAATATATTCATGGCTAGTGAAGCTCTTGTGGGCGCTTGCAATGGCACTGTCAGCACACAACCTGATCCTCAGAGGACTTATCAAGTTGTTGTTGCTGCTACGCGGACTATGGGTATTGGTAAGGATGGGAAATTGCCCTGGAGGTTGCCTTCTGACCTCAAATTTTTCAAGGATGTCACCATGACTACATCAGATCCAGCAAAGAAGAATGCTGTCATAATGGGAAGGAAAACATGGGAAAGCATACCTCTAGAGCATCGGCCCCTGACTGGTCGCCTCAGTGTTGTTTTAACTCGTTCAGGGAGTTTTGATATTGCAACTGCAGAGAATGTTTTAATGTGTGGGAGCTTGATCTCTGCTTTGGAGTTATTAGCATCATCTCCTTATTGTCTATCCATCGAGAGAGTGTTTGTTATAGGTGGTGGCCAGGTCCTAAGGTCTGTACACACAATGCTCTATATATGCTGAGGTTTCTAGGTACTGTATCTGTGCTTGACTGCTAGCTTTATTGCAGAGAGTCCCTCAATGCTCCTGGATGTGATGCTATCCATATTACTGAAATTGAAGGAGACATTGATTGTGACACTTTCATCCCTGCTATTGATGCTTCAGAATTCCAGCCATGGTACTCGTCGTTCCCCTTAGTTGAGAATGGTCTTCGCCATTGTTTCACTACGTATGTTCGTGTGAGGAATTCTGCAGTTGAAACCCCAATCAAGACTAATGGCTTGCTGTCTGATAGTAGCTCAGACTCGGTAAAGTTTGATGTAAGGATGTTCTCTTTCCTGCCCAAAATGATATTTGAGAAGCATCAGGAGTACCTTTACTTGAGAATGGTCGAAGATATCATTTCTAATGGTGCTTTAAAGGATGACCGCACAGGGACTGGTACTTTGTCAAATTTTGGTTGCCAGGTACTTTTCAAGCTCATCTTCTATAAATGGTTCTACCAAATTATACTTGTGACAGGATGATTCAAGTTGTCTTTCTGATACATATACCTGTTTTCTTTATTGCCCAACAGATGAGGTTCAATCTACGAAAATCTTTTCCACTGCTTACAACCAAGGTATCTATTTCTCTTGATCATTCCCCACTTATTATTAATCAAAGAATTGAGATGGCAGGTTCGTCTTGGGGATATTTATGTCAGGATGGACGTTTTTAACTCCATTCTTATATTCATCATTCATATCTACAGAAAGTGTTTTGGCGTGGAGTTGTGGAAGAACTTTTGTGGTTCATCAGTGGGTCAACAAATGCCAAGGTTATCTTCTTTTTCGCTCAATATGGTTAGACCTATATCACCTGTCAGTTAGAAGGTAAACGCTCCCATAGCCACATAAATAGTGAAGGAATACTGTTTTTCCAATTGAAAAGAAACATTTGAACTGATCTTTCTTTACGTTATCCATGTACATTTTGCATCATTTTTGTTAATGGCATAGTCTAAAACTCATGCGCCTATGACTGAATAGCAGTTTAGATCTTTTTGTTCATCTCATTTGCGCATCGTTATTCTTAGGAATCAATAAAAGTAGTTTTTTATAGGCATCTTGTTATCTTCAGGAAACAGTTCTTTTGTCTATGATAAAAATGAATTTTATATATGCATATTTGCAATTTATGTCTGAATAAAGTTCCAAGAAACATGCATAGTCCATTCTGTCTTTAAACCAAATCGAACTATTCTTCATCCTGGACCTGAGATAGTAAATGTGATCCATCATTCTATGAGTGGATGTACATCGTTTTTTTTGTGTACAATTGTAGGAATATATGTCTTAGTTTTTCACGTCTATGGTTATCAGGTCTTACAAGAAAAGGGCATTCATATATGGGATGGTAATGCATCCAGAGACTACCTCGACAGGCAATGTCCAAACCTTTTACCTGTGTAGTTGCCATGAGATGTTTGACTTTCTATCTAAATTTATTTAATTTTCATTCATAATTCAGCATTGGCTTGGCGGATAGAGAAGAAGGTGACCTGGGTCCAGTGTATGGGTTTCAGTGGAGACACTTTGGTGCAAGGTTGGCAATGTGTTCTATTACACTTGTTCATGCTTCAAACATGAACTTAACATGTACTCCCTCTGTCCCAAATAAATGTTCCCAATGAAAAAGGCACACAGTTTTAGAAATGTACTTATTACACTTTTTAATTAACTAAATGACAGCTTCACCCTTAATAATAGAGGGAGGAATGAGTATCACCATCTCATAATTAAGGGTAGAATTAGAAAGTAGGCACTTACTTTTGAAAGTGGACTTGTTTTGGGACAAACCAAAATAGAGATATGGACATTTATTTTTGGGACGGAGGGAATATATTTTTGGATAAACAACTTAAGATACTTAAAAAGCATTATTTACAGGTATACTAACATGCATGCTGACTACACTGGCCAAGGATTTGATCAGTTGCTAGATGTTATTGACAAGGTAAAAAACAATCCAGATGACCGTCGTATAATTCTTTCAGCATGGAACCCTTCGGATCTCAAGCAGATGGCACTTCCACCTTGTCACATGTTTGCACAGGTTGGCGTAGTAAATAATCTTTTGATGTTTCTTCGTCTCTTATTGATCCCTGAGTAACAAATTGGTGTTCTTATCTGCAGTTCTATGTGAATCAAGGAGAGTTATCTTGTCAAATGTATCAGCGATCTGCAGATATGGGTCTAGGTGTCCCATTTAACATAGCATCGTATGCCTTATTGACATCCATCATTGCCCATGTTTGTGGTATGCATATTTTTTAAATTCAATACTAGTTTAGTGTTTTTGATTAAGTAATTATTGATTAGAGATAAATTCTAGAATATATACAGCATTAATTCTGACAAATTGTGGAATGCCATCTAATTCCTATGAAATTGAGTAGGCATCTTCTGGGTTAGACAGTTTTGTTAGGTTACTAGAATTAAATATACATGTATATGAATTCTTTCTTACCTGTGCTTATGGACAGATCTTGTTCCTGGTGATTTTATTCATGTTCTTGGTGATGCTCATGTCTATAGCACTCATGTCAGACCTCTGCAGGACCAGCTTCAGAAACTGCCTAAACCTTTTCCTGTAAGCGTAATGTGTAATGTTATTATGCTATCCTATTTACCGTCTCTGTGTTGATTAGGGCTATGTTTGGCAAACTAGCTGATAAGGGGCATAATTGGAAAAAGACCCTGAAGCTTATTGAAACTCTGCTTGAAGTAGTGTTTCAAAAAGCTACCACCTAGCTTATGGCTAAACAAACGGGTCTTTTTCAACAAGCTCAAAAAATTAGCTAGCTTATGCTAGCCGGAAATGGCCTAGGTTATTGTTTACGGGTCTTTTTCAATAAGGACATTATTAGTCTTATTCTTGCTACTCTTGATACTGTTTTCATCTCTCTTATATATGATTGCAGATTTTGAAGATCAATCCCAAGAAGAAGGATATAAATGCTTTTGTGGCTGATGATTTTGAACTCATAGGCTATAATCCTCACCAGAAGATAGAAATGAAAATGGCAGTATAGAGCTACCTTCTACCTTCTGATTTTGGTAAGGACAAATATGAACTATAGTTCCCTCTTTGCTTCTAAATGTGTTTAATGAAGCAAGCATCTATGCCTTATGGTTTTGCATGGTTATCTTCCAATCCAGCTTGTCATATTTACCATGCCCTACAATCATTTGCACAGAAATTTTGCATCTTAATGCACTTGCATAGGAATTATCCTCAACAACTATGGCTATGTTCGGCAAACTAGTTGATAAGCTAGTTCTTGGATAATAAACTACCTGTTAATTGATAAGCTAGCTGATAAATGAGGGTTTGGGGGAAAGCCAAGTTTTCTCCATACTTGCCCCTTTGAATTAAAAAATACGTTCCTTCCATCTATGAAAACCCCCCTCCCAATCTATACAGACAGATTAACCCACACAGTCAACTTTATCTATATAATTGGAAAAAAATGCCCATAGTGTTGCAATAAGCTAGTTATGGCTAACAAAACGGGACTTTTTCAGTAGGTGTAAAAAATAAGTTGGCTTATGGTTGCTAAAATGACATGCCCCTATATGTGAGACGGTGAACACTTTCAGTAGGGCGAAATAAGAGTCCTTGATGTAAATCACCATTTCACACATTCAAATCGGTCTTCTAATCATTTCTCTCCCGGGTTGACCCAAATGTTACTACTTCCACAATATCTAGGTTTGTAATATCTAAAAGGCAAAAATAGAAAATCAAATTCAACATAGGTCCGCAATTGCGACAGTAAAACTGGTTGAATTTGATTTTTTTTGTCTTTTAGCTAGGTCTGCAACATATTGCGGAAGTAGTGACATTTGGGTCAACCCAAGAGAGAAATGGTTAGAAGACCAATTTGGATTTGTGAAATTGTCATTTTGAGCTAATTTCTTGCGAAATAATCATATGTATTGCACTGTTTGCATGCAATGCTATCGGTGTGAATCATATTAAACAAGGCGAACAAAATTAAGTTAGCAGAAATCACATGATTGAAAGAAACTCATTTCCAACTATGGATGTGAGGAATCAATTCTATTGACTTTCTGGTTTAAAACTTGACATCTAGTGCTAAAGTCTTTAGTTGGTGAACCGTCTAGCATGTTGCTTTTTATGTGTAAAAGGTATCTTCTTTTTCTATCTTTTATCCAAAGATATGGCTTTAAGATATTGTTATGGTTGGTAAAAAATACGCTTAGATTCTACATGTTAGTTCACACTCTAGCACAAGCCAAGGGTCCTTACGAAAACAGTCGCTTTATTCTGAGGTACAGGTCATGTCTGTATACATTACAACTCTAGACCCTACTTTCGAGTGAGATTTACTGTGTCAGTTTGGTTTGGTCCTTACGAAAACAGTCGCTTTACTCTTTGAGGTCCTGTTTGTATACGTTTCAACTCTAGACCCTGCATTTGAGTGAGATCTACTCGGTCAAATTGTTTTGGTCTTTATGGAAACAGTCGCTCTACTCTTTGAGGTAGTGGTCAGGTCAATGCACATTCAACTCCAGACCTTGCTTTCGAGTAAGATTTACTGGGTCCGTGTTGTATGGTTTGATTTAGAAAATACCTTTTTGATGAATGACTTTCATGTTTGAAGTGGATATGCAAATTGTGCCATGGCCTTAAGGCTCAAGGTCTTGGGCTTTTTTAAAGTCGAGGCTAGGCGTATTCACGAGGCCCCTTTGCGTCTAAGTGCACCTTGAGTAACAACTTTGGGCCTTAAATTCGACAAGTAACGATGTGCAACCTTTTCATGCAGGGAAAGATTACATGTGGTTTTTGGGCGTCGAGTTTTTCCATAACGACGTGGATATGCTAAACTTATTACCTACATAGCAACTGGGAATCCTTTAGTTCCACATAAAATTTGTGGGTGCCAAGGTGATTTGGATATTTAGTTCTGTTTTGATTGCTTGCTGGGCAGAGATTATTATGTTAACATTTGTGTTAAAGGTGAAGTTGAACCAACAGCCTCCCTCTCTTATGACTTGTGTTTTCTACCTTGTGGGACTGGTTGATATCAATGGAAACACACAAACTAAAGACTTTGTATTCAAGTGTTGATACAGGTTCCTCCATGTGGAATTCATCTATTACAGTCTCACATCAGTTAGATTTGGATCATTTCCTCTTAAACCTCCATTATCTCTAGAAACACTTTTGCGAAGAGTAATCTAACATGATTTTCACATAGGTACACCAATCAGTATGGAATCCAATGGAATTCATCTGTTAGAGTCCCATATCAATTAAAGTTGATGTTATCTTTTATGATTCATATGCTTTCACTTTGTGTTCTTTAAGGTGTATTATATTGGCAATTGGGTATTTGGCAACAAGACATATATAATATTATCTTGAATATGATATGACATTCTTTAATATATATATATATATATATATATATATATATATATATATATATATATATAAACATTATCCATGAAGTTGGTTGTTGAAATTGGTACTTCTTTCTTCTTACAAGAGAAAATGTAGCACTTTTTATCTTTAAGAAAAGGAAGCCAAAGCTTTTGTTATGCAAGTTGCCAAAATCACAACTTTTTCTATATTGCAATGATATTCATAACTTTGGTTTTCATTTATAAGTTTCTTTTTGGTAACGATTAACGATGGGTATTGGAGTCAACTTACGTGTGTCAATTAATTCCTCGAACGACCATGAATGAGCTCGAGTCATCATAAGTGAACCTTCATGACCATAAAGACTTTGATAATGTTTGGATTTGAACTTGAAGAAATGAGATTTTCACTACATCCCTTGGGGAACCAGTGTGCCACATCCAAGGGCGAACTTACATGAAAGATCGTTAGGCACTCAAATGTTAAACGTTTTTAGCAACGGGTCCCCCCAATAGTCTAGTCCGTTTTGACAAAACCCTCCACTCCTTCACTAAATAGTCGCCCCCCCCCCCCCTTACATTTTATTGTTTTATTACTGCTAGTTCTTGCAATCATGCTACAATGATAAAGTTGGTTGATGATTTTGTTAAATATATCTTAATTTTTTATTCTTTTAGTTTAAATAAATCATTTCACATAACGTTCATTTTATATATGCTCAAACCAATTCATCTAGAAAGAAACTATATAAACTAAATAATACAATAATTTGCTATTCGCTTATGGTAAAAAAAATCGGAACCAAACTGACTTTATTCGATTAACCGAACTGTTAAACTTTTAAACCTAATAACCCGAAACCGTGTTGGTTGGGTGAGTTATTCGCTTTTGGTTTTCTTTTATACCTCTAAGCTCCCTTGTCACTTCAGTTTCCGAACCCGATACTGATAACCCAACACTGATAAAAACTGAAGTGATTCATTTATTTGATGACTTGTTTAAGTAATTCCTTTTTTACTTTCTAAAAAGAACGAAAAAGTTGGGATACTTTATCGAATACGACTTTCATTCCCTAAAGTTATCAAGGGAGTGTTCATATTGTATTGGTTTGATACACGACACACTTATTCCAAATGTATTTCATATTTACTGTATCTTTTTTTGAAGTATATAATATTTATATACGGGAAATGCAATAAATAATCACACACATTTCTCATATTTGGTGAAGTTTGAACTTTTGCCCTCTTAGGAAGCCAAAGACTACGATACCATTAGGAAAAAAGGCCCCTTTGATATATTTGTTGTATCTTTAGATTAATGTTTTCTTTTAAATACATAATCTTTAGAGTAAACTGCAAATTTGGTCTCTACGGTTTGTCGAAAATCACGCTTTTCATTCATACAGTTTCAAAATTACAAGAGAATCAACATGGTTTGTAAAAACGTCCACATTTGGTCTCTCCCTCTAATGGCCGTTAAATTAAACAGTAATCTTATTAATTACTGTTTAATACCTTTAAGCAAACATATACTGAATTCATTTTATAGAAAATGGATCAAATAAATTGAACTAAAACAGGTCAAGTAAAAAAGTGGTTTTAATGGGTTAATTAGTCATCCAAAGCAGTTATAAAATCTTTACAGTTATGTTTTGAAATATCTCTGAAGTCTTTAAAGCTTGATTTTATCAGTCGAGATGTATATAAACTAATCCACATGTCACGATCATAAACAAAAAAGTATTTAATTTATAATCATATTAAGTTTGAAGTGTTTGATTTTGCTTTTGAGATTTTGTTTAATATTTTCATCTTCATTAAATTATATCTCAAATATTTAATAAATATGAAAAAGAGTTTCAAACACAAACCATATAAATTTTACGTTAAGAAACAATTAGAACATTTATAAAGGATTGCGATGTTTCGTTTATTAAGATCGAATATTTATGGAATATGATAGAGTTCGGACCTGTTTGTCAGCAGTTTAATAACCTTAATGAGACTTATAGCTTATTCAGTTTCAGCTATACATGATTGTCTGTCATGACTTAATAATAATAAAAAGTGGCTTATTCAGTAATCTTATAGAAGGAAACTTTATGCATAAAGGGACGTTTTTTTTTTTCAAACTCGTCTCATTCAATTAAAGAACACATTTCTTCCATTTATGATAAGAAAAACCATAAACAAAAATCATCCCAATTTATATAGACAACTTTGTCTAGAGTTGAGTTCTCATGAAACTACATTTTTACATTTGAAACTTCACTGCAAAACATTGTGAAGGTAAAAGAATCCGAACATTCACAACAAAAACACTGTGAATGTTACATTCGCAAATAATAAACGGTTAATATTGATTAATATCTATACTATATTATAAAACATTTGACAAAAACTCTTAAAAACCACTTTTTATGCTTAAAGTACTGTTTATTAATGCATATTACTTACAACTTAAGATTACAAGTAGATTGTACGTAAATACAACTTATTAAAGTTCCATATCTGAATTCGTATAAGTAACTGTAGATAAACATAATCAAATATAGGATAAACATCTCATTTTAAATATAAAAAATCTAAAATATAATTAGGATAATCATTGAATTCTAACAGATAACTATTATTTTTATAAAATATTATATTATTAAACCAAAAATAAATTATTTCATTATTAAACTTATAATAAAATAAATAAATTAAAAAAATTACATAAAAAATGAAAACTTTTAAATAATTGATGTGATATTAACATTGATATATTTTTGAATTTTTATGATATCTTCAAGTTTATATTTTGTTCAAAAATAAAATCATTATTGTTTTCTTAAAAACATATAAAATCGTATTATAATATCAACATAGACCAATAATAAAATAGAACATTAAAATCGAGGTTTGTCCTACTGTATTGTACGAGTATTTTTTTAGTAATTTATAATATTTATATGTACACCATAATTAAAATATATTATATTTTCAAAACAAGAAAAAAGTAAAACGAAGAGAAAAAACCCCCTCATTTGACACTCGAAAGAGGTATTCAAGATTTTCTCTATTTTTGTTTCACAAAAAAAAAAAAATTATCAAAGGCTATGATTCTATGAACCGATGTACACCATAGGAGAAAACTCTTCGTCTCTCAATATTTTCTGTTGCCTCGCGATAAACGCCTCCACCGTTCGCCGGAAATCTTCGCTGCTCAATTCTTCCTTCTCACACCTCTTCTCCGTCGCCGCCGTATCATCGCAACCATGACCGAAGCTCTTCGATCTACTTATCTCTGTCACCGACCGCCTCAATTCCCGGTGAGTTTTGTTCTCTTTGCATTTTGCTCGTATAGGATTCTCCGATCGGCTTCTGCAAATCATCCTTTTGTTACTAGGAACAGTGACGATAGAAGTAGAAGTAACGACGGGAGCATTTATTAAGCTCCTCTCGCAGCTTCTAACGTAGTCGTAGCACAAATCGGCTTTTCCGTTGCCATCGCTGTTTTCAGTAACTCGAGATTTTAAGAACAGAATCAAAATGATCACGTTTCCGATCACGAACACGAACTTAGGGCTTAAAACCGTGAAAGTGAATCCTCTGAAATAATCACCGGAAACTTTAACGGCGAACGGTAGTTGATACGAAAACCTAGAAATCATAACTAGAAAAGCAAACACCTCCATGAATCTGAAGAGAGTCGTGATTTTGTGAAGCCTTCGGTACTTGAAAATCGCGTTCGCCTTTTCCATTTTGACATCGAAAGACTTCATTTTCAATTCCTGTTTTGAGTCCATATCGAGTATTCAATTGATGATTTTGATGGAGTAATCAGTGGATGAAAGGCTTGGGTGGATGAATCATTAGGACGAAGATGAGAGTGATGGCCATGGCCATTGCCATTGGGATGTGAATGGTGATGGAGGTTTACTGGTTTTTCCCCCTTTTCTTTGTTTCCTTTTCTGGTGTTGGGATGAAGAAGGTTTGAAGGTGGGATGTGTATTTATAGTCACCAAAAAAACAAGAATTTGAATTATTTCTCCACCATTTTCTTTCCTGCTTTTACTTTTGCTTAAATGGGCTTTAATTTCCTATTCATACACCATTACTTGTTTTTTTTACTGGTTGTGTACCCGTATAATGCGACGGGAGCTGTGAATTTTAACGGTTTTGAAGTTTCATTCGTTTTATTAGATAAGATTTAATATAAATTACATTTGGTCTTTACATATTAATACAATTTGAATAAATAAGAGTTGTGGTTCCAATTACAATCTATCGATAAAAAAAATTATATGACAGTTTAAAATCAAATATATTTAAAATTCAACATATTTAAACGACTCCATAAGTGTGTTCGGTTTACACCAAGAGCAAAAAATCAAAAGATCGAGAGTTCTAAAGCAATTGAATGAGAGATGAATGAGAGAACTTTTAATAACTCATGGTGAATATCAATTTGAATCTCACATTGGGAGATGGAGAGAAGACATAGATGTATGATAGGATGAAGACATGAGTGAAATGTGTCAAAAGTATCTTGGGAACATAAAAAGAAAATGTAATAATGTGCATTGGTAATTTGTACTATATACTATTTTAATTGTAGATTAAGATATTTTAAGACTGAATGCATAAAGTAATAGTACTTAATGCATTATGAGTTGTTTTTAAGACTCTGTGTATAAATGTATAGTATTTTGTGCATTAAAAATTGTTTTTAAGACTTTTGATAAATCTGGTTTATAAAATAATATAGATATTTTTAGTTTATAATTTGATATGATTTTGACATAAAAAAATTGCATATAACGTTACCCTTCGAGAATGGTGTATTTCATCTACCCCTCCACGCGACACCACTATCTTCCACCAACAGTTTCATCGACGACGTTTCATCCACTTCATTTCACGACCAACGACCTCCTCCGGTCGATCCTTCTTCTCCATCGACTCCAACCACCATGGTCTACTCCTTTCTCGATTCCTCACCAAGAACCGCCCTCCATCTCTACTCTCTACGACCACTTGCAACTGTATCAGGCTTCAAACGCCCCTTTGTCTCCCTTCTGGCCTCCCTCTCAAAAACCACCAGCGCTCGTCGCTCGAAGATCATCTCCACCCCATCATCAAACCTTCTTCTGTCCCCTGTTCCTTAACAAAATTTCAAGATTTTTTTTTATTTTGTAGCTTTACATAGGTTGCAACAGTTTTTCAAAAATCCTAGGATTTATTAAGCAGGTTTTAAAAAGTCCAATGACTTATTCATTAAAAAAAAAAGTCCAAGAATCAATATTCGACATATGCCAAAAAAAAACGACATTATATTAGCTACAATGAACAACAAATTGGTTTCTAAAAACCAGTGTTGATAGTTTCTATGTTATTTCATCAATGAAATAACTCATTTCATATCTAATTGTATCTGTTGTTTGATATGTGTAGTAGTTTATGTTAAATATGTTGTTTCATCAGTGAAATAACACATCATATACTTTTATGATTAATCATAATAATCCATCAAGGTTATATTTTACTTCATCTGTGAACCAATATAGGTGAAATATTTTGTATCAAGTTTAAAGATAATGTTGTTTCATCAATGAAATAACATAACTTATCTATACTATATTATAATGCATTTGACAAAAACTCTTAAAAACCATTTTTTTATGCATAAAATACTGTATATTAATGCATATTACTTAAAATTCAAGATTACAAGTAAATTATGCATAAGTACAACTAATTAAAACTATATGTTTGAATTTGCGTAACTAACTGCGGATAAACATAACCAATTAGAGGATAAACATCTCACTTTAAAATATAATTAGGATAATTATCGAGTTCTAACAAAATAATTCATTATTAAATAAAATTATATTATTAAACCAAATATAAATTACTTTGTTATTAAACCTAACAAAATTATCTAAATTGAATTAAAAATTACACAAAAAATAAGGAATTTTAAATAGTTAATTTGATACTAATATCGATATATTTTTGTCAAAATTTTTATGATATATTTAAATTTATATTTTATTTAAAAATAAAAATATCATCGTTTTTCAAAATCGCATAAGATCATATTATAACATCGACTGAGATAAAAAATAAAATGAAATATTAAAATCAAGATGTATCTCGCTGCATTATACGAGTACCCTTCTAGTACTTAATGAAAAAGTCAATGGATTATGTTGTTTAATATGCGTATATTGCATTTGAATATAATGAACCAGTATTTGTGACCAAGTCGATAATTGGAGCAATGGCGAAAGCTAGGAATAACCCAATAAACCAACGCTTGATTCAATTCACATTCTTCGACTTCATTGTAATCAGACGAGTCATTTAAAACATTGTGAGGTATTTAAAGTGAGCTCATCTTTATTAATGGGTAGGTACAAGGTTCAAAAGTTGAGCTGGTACACCCCGTTTGGTTCGCAAAACGGAATGGATTTGGAGGAATTTGGATTTCCCATGTTTGGTGTGTTGGATTGTCCGGAATTAAAATCCAACAAACATAAGATTTTGAAATTCTTAGGGGATGCTCGGGATTTCACGGGATTTTATAGAATTGTATGAAAAAAAAAGGTTTTAAATAACATGTGCATATATGAAACCATGTGATAAACCATCAAAACTAATGAATATGAAAATGAATGAGCCAAACCCATGGTATTTAAAAACTAAATAACATTTTAAGGAAACTGATTTTCAGATAACTAAGGAATATGATATCAAGAGATATATCATAGGTTCAAATGAGAAGGCTTAAATATATGAGAAACAGAGAAGTCATCCTAGCCCTTCCACTAAAAAAATTAACAGTCAAGATTTGAGGGGTTTATTGTGAAATACCAGATAATTCGGTTGCATAGTAACAATTATGCGGAAGATAAAGGGGTAGTTTCATGATTTTACAACTACAACAAAATAGGCGACAGGCAAATAATAATATGTGCATATGTGAAACCATGTGGTACACCATGAACTATTTAAATGATTTAGATATGAATCTTAGATCAAGCCCGTCCCTGACATTTTATATACCCTGGACGAGATACGAAAAGAAGCCCTCGATAAGTATGAAAAAAATTTAATTTATTGTTTTTATCATAAGAAATAATATTGAATTCAGAAAAATACTAATAATTCATATAAAATCATTTTTTAGTCTTCTTATACGCAAAATCATTAAATAATTACTTTTAAATTAATATTATCTACCATATGATTTTTACAAAGCATCAATAAGTCGTACCACAACCAAATATGTTCTATGATATATCTTTAATATATAGATTAACATCATTTGAGGTTACAATGCTAACTATTCAGAGTAGCACTTAAAATAAGTCCATATAAATTAGTTATGTTTCCATGTCACATTATGTTAATGTTTTAACTTTAAACTTTCTTAGGGTTAAAACAGACTTTTTAGAAACTATTAATCATAGAATCAAAAGTTCATTTTGGTTATAACTTGAGATCTTATTCTTATTTTAGAGATATGAAAATATTTAAAATTCGTGCACTCAATATCAGGTAATAAGTAGTCAATAATGTATAAAAAACAATGGTAGTTTTGAAATCCTAAATATACATATAAGTTGAACTGTCTCATATGGTTGATAATTTTTTTTTTCTTCAAAAGGTAAGAATTTTCTCAGTTAATAACAAAAAATCTACTATATTCTAATACAAAAATAGAATTCATGTGGAAGGAATAATCAAAAGAGCTGCTGAGAGATGAATGATGAAGAATATATCAATGTTTTATAGGAAAAGTAGTTTTAGATTTTAATAGTAGATAATTTTTTTACAGAAATCAATAAGGAATACTATAAAATGAACAACCAATTATTTTTTTCACATATTTTCTTCTCCAATAAAATAGAAAATCGATGATAGAATTGCCATAAACTCGAATTTGACTTGTTAGAATCATTAATGGGAGATGACGATATTTATCGGACTTCTGTTGTTGTCATTGATGATGACAGTGTATTGATCGAAGGAACCTCCTTTCACCTGTTATGACGATTTCTGCTTATTACCACATTATTCTTCATTTCATAAAATTTAATCATCTATATTATATTACAAAACATTTGATAAAAACTCTTAAAAACCATTTTTTATGCATGAAGTACTGTTTATTGATCTATATTACTTATAGTTTAGTATTACAAGTAAATTGTGCGTAAGTACAACGTATTAAGACTTTATTTTTTAATTCGTGTAACTAGTTGCAGATAAACATGATCAAATACAAGATAAAAATCTCATTTTAAATATATAAAAGTAAAATATAATTAAGATGATCATTGAGTTTTAACAAAATATTTAATTAGCATCCTTATAAAAAATTACATTATTAAATAAAAATTATTGTTATATCTAAACTATATTATAATTAAAAAAATGAATTAAAAAAATTATATGAAAAACGAAAATTTTTAAATAATTAATTTAATAGTAATATCCATATTTTTTTAAAAATTTATATTTCATTTAAAAATATAAATATTATTGTTTTTTTAAGTTACATAAAACCGTATTATATCAACAGAATATATGTTGTTACATTATGTAATTAGCCTTCTAATTTAAGGGTTAGGTTCACGTGAGACCTGTAAGATCAATTTATGTTCATTGTAATGATCTAATAGTTTAAAGTTGTACGATGGAAATTTTGTGATTATTGAGAAGTCTCGTAGTAATTTTATGATTATAAATATTTAGATTGTAAATCTAATTCAAAGGTTAAGAATTAGTCTTATAA